GACTGGTGCAGCCTCTGTGGAAATCAGTGTGGAGATTCCTCAAAAAACTAGAACCAGAGGTCCTGTTCGACCCAGCTGTTCCCCTTCTAGATATATTCCCAAAAGAATTAAAAACATCGGGACTTCCGGGAGAACATGGCGGACAGATAGCAGCAGCTACGGGGGCTCTCTGAAAGACCCAGCTTAGAATTCAGGAATGGTGCGGAGTAAGGAATCATAAGTAAGTGGAGATATGCCCTGCTGACCCAAGAACGAACTGGGCTGAGAGAAACCAACTTGGAATGCAATCCTGATGCTATAACAGGAACAGAAAAGCCTCAGTGTGGAAGCTGGAGCCTGCGGCATTGGAAGCCGCGATTTGGGTTTTCCACCGCGCGGCGGCTGCATCTACATCGGCTCGGCAGGGAGAGAGACGTGCGGAAGCTCTGAGAATGGGAATCTGCGAACGGAGTTGAAAACAGGACGGGCGGGGAGCTGTGCATTGACTTGCGGTAAGGTGAGTGAGAGAAACTGACACTCTTCCACAGTTTAGGAGACTCCAGCGGAGGACATTCTGGGACTGGGCAGACTTGCAGGAGTGGGGCGCTGCAGTGACTTCAGCCACGTATCCCCCTCTCAAGCAGGATTGGTGAGAAGTGCCTAGCCTACATAACGCTGCTGGCTGAGACCCAGTAGGCTAGCACAACCCAGATCCCAGAGCCTGAGGGTGGCCTGGAGGGGCGGGCCCGCATAGGCTGCCTGGTATGCAACTTCCTAGTGTGCTGCGGTGGGCGGGAACACCTAGCCAGCGCAATTCGATCAGGCTGTGGCTGACAGGGAGGGAAGCTGGGCCTCCTATATACACTTGCATATATAAGGAACAAAGAATATGGGAAGAGGGAGCAACAAGAAAGGCCCTTCGGCCCCCAATCCTGAGAAACAGGCAATAGCGGACACCGTACCAATAGACATAAAGCGCCATCTAGAGAGCCTCATAGATGAGTTCAGGAATGAAGTTATTAATGATCTGAAGCTAGAAATAAGCAGAATAGTTAGAGAAATGCTAAGCACCACCCAAGAAAAACAGATGGTGGAATGGAAGAACAGAAAAAGAGGGGAGAATTGTTTGATGGAGAAAATAGAGAAAGCATAGAATACGTGAAGCAGGTTCAAAGAGACTACCAGGAAACTAAAAACTCTATCGAAAACTGGCATAACAGCTTGAAAGAAACTAAGGACAGACTATCTGAACTGGAGGGCAGATTTGTAATATGGGAGAATGAAATGAAAAACTTCTTAAAAGTAACAAAGAAACAAACAACAATAATACAAAGACTAGAAGATGATAAGAGGATCCATAAGTTAAGAATTAAGAACATAAAAGAAGTAGGGACACAAACAAATGAACTACAAAAGCTACTCACAGAAATAATCCAGGAGAATTTTCCTAATTTAGCAAAAGGTAAAGATACTCAGTTGTATGAAGCATACAGGACCCCAGCCACCTACAACCCAAACAGGGCAACACCCAGGCATATAATAATAAAAATTCCAGAAATTCAATACAAGAACAGAATATTAAAAGCTGTCAGAGACAAGAAACAGACCACTTACAAGGGAACACCCATCAGAATTACAGCAGATTTCTCTACACAAACCATCAAATCACGAAGAGTGTGGAGGGAAATAATTCAAGTTTTGAAAGATAATAATCTCCAGCCAAGATTGAGATATCCTGCACAACTACCCTTGGAAATTGATGGAAAAACAAGGTGCTTCCAGGATGAAGAGGAACTAGGGGAATATGCAGCCACCAATTCAACTCTACAGAGAATACTGCAGAATATTCTAAAAAAGAAAAATACAAAGAATCCAGAAATAGTGGCAGAGAGACCACAATGAAGGGAGCAGAAAAAAAATGAAGACAAACTGACAACTAGTGACAGAAAAAGAGCTCAACAGAAATGAGGCAGAGAAGATTGGATGATAGGAACAGCTATTTTGGAGAAAATGACATCTTAATAGGTAATACTGATTTAGTATCATCTTGTTTTGAAGTCTCATCAAGCTTTTGTTCTTCTGTCTCCATTGGTCTAAACAGGTTGTATCTTATTGGATTTTATTATGTACGATAGTATAAGCAAAAACTTTTAAAGACGAGATTATACAGAAACCATTGTTCATTTTCTGTTACTTGACTCTAAATACCTTGTAATGCTGTCATTCTCTTAAATGGTTTTACATTGTTTTGATATATTTGATACTACAGTATACGAAGTTATACTCAAAGATTTCAAGGAAAGAGACAATATGGTAACTACTTTTATGTCAGGATTATCTTGTGGTGAAACACTATTCTGCTTAAATGGTTATGTTTTGATCTGCGCTGTTTCGCTGTTATGCCCTCTTTTATCTCAATCTCCACTTCATTATTTACTTTTTTATTTTTATCCTTTTAATTAAGGGAAAAATAAATAAAAAATAGCAGGATATATTATAGTAACCCACTTTGACTTTCCATTATCTTGATTTAAAGCCCTGTATTATTCTCACCATCTTGTTTTTGACTGATGTCCCCCTATTCTGTTTTGCTTGATAGTTACCAGGTTCGAAAGTTTAGGCAACAGCTGTGAAGATAGTGAGATTCATTATGACGCCCATTCTCGTTGACTATTATCTACTTTTGAAGACCTATAATGTCTCCAATGTTTTGGTTTTGTCGGTTTTCTTTACTGTTTTGTTCAATTTTATTATAACTGATGATACAGGCAATTCTATTAGAGATAGCGGGAGGCATTATGGTAACCATTGTTGATCACCTTGTATTATGCTTTTACATTATCTATTATGTCCACCCTTTTGATTTGATTGACTCTGTTCTATTATGTCACATTTGGTTCTACTCCCTTCCAAAAAAGTAGTAAGAACTGTGGGAGCAACAAAACCCAAAATGTGTAATTGTCATTGTACAAAAGAGAGGAAAAGAAAGTGCTCTAAACGATATAACTACATGTATATTTAAGTGTATAAGATAGATCATGATATCACTGAGTTTTGTTGGATCATTGAACAGAACTGTTTGCAGTCTCATTGTTGGAATGTCCACTTTACAAGCTTTAATTTTGTGACTTGAACAATTATTTCTAAGATGACAATATGTAATCCATTAACTAGTGATTTCCTACTGTTTATTTTTTCCTGTAAATCTGTATAACTTGTACCCTTTATCTGCTTTTTTTCTCCTTAAATAAAATTTTAAAAAAAGAATTAAAAACATCATACCATAGTGATATATGTGGACCCATGTTTATAGCAGCAGTTTGTAATAGCTGAATCTTGTAAACAATGTAGAGATCCATCAACCAAGGAATGGATAAAAAGTGTTTTAAAAAATATATAATGTAGTAATAGCTATAGAAAAAGATAAACTTGAGTGAAATAAATCAGACACACATGTAAATATCTCAATGTCTCCCCGGTATAGAAAACTGAAAGAGTAAATAAGGACCACAGTGTACAATAGATATTGTGACACAGGAAGAAATTGTTCATAAAAAGGATCTAGGGTGAGGGGAAGAGGGAGGAAAGGAAAAAAGAAATGATAAAAGAAGGATAAAGTGGAAACAAAATTTTGTAAATGAGGGGAAAAGGGGCTTGAAGGGAGGAGGGGTTGGGGAAAAAGAGGAATCAAGATACATCATATACAGGTACAAATTCCTTACAATGAATATGATCATTATGTTTATCTAAATTGTACCAATAAACTTAATTTTTTTTAAAACCCCAAAATATAACACAGGAAAACTAAGAGTCTGTCCTTGAGTTGGACTCCCAGGATTTTGACTATGGTGTATATCATGGAGAAGTGTGTTTTTGAATGTGCCTATTTGGGGCACCTCATTTATCTGTATGTTTAATTCTTTTCCAAATAGGAAAGTTTTCTGCTATTATTTCAGTAAATAGATTTTTAAATGTTGTGTGTGTTGTCTTCTGATTTTTTCATTAATCCTAGTTAATCTTCGCTTAGTCTCCATTGTGACATCCAGGAGCTGTTGGATGTATTTTTTCATGTTCTCTTGTTATTTTTAAGGTATTAATTGGTCACTGACAACATCCTTGTTCTCTAGTTCTGATGCTGTGTCCTCACACTGGTCACTTCTGCTGTCTATGCTTTCAATAGAATTTTTAATCTCCTGAATTTCTTTTTGGAGCCTTACTATGGATCCTCATTCTTTTCTATGCTCTCCTGAATATTTTGGATTATTTTGTTTAGCTTTTTCTATCTTCTATTAATTCTTCTTTAGATTGTTTTATTTCACCCAGTATCACATTACCTATGTCTTCTGTGAGCTTGCCAAATGCCTTACTTATCTGTTTTTCTTAATCTCCCCTAATATATCTCTTCATATTTTTTGTTTGTGTGGCTTTTGGTTTTCTCCTTTCAGTGCCACGTGGATCGGAGGAGATGGGAATTTTTGCCACCTATTTTGTTGGCTTGTCTTTGTGTGTGTGTGTGTGTGTGTGTGTGTGTGTGTGTGTGTGTGTGTTGTGTGTTGAGGCTTCTGAGTTGACTGTAGTAGAAGGCTTCGTTTCTAGTATGGAGAGCTCTTTAGTTTGTCTACTTTTTGGTGATACCCTTCGGGCATGGCTAACTGTTGGCCATTGGCTCTGTCTTGCCTGAGACAGTTGCATTGGGGTTCTGCAGTCCTTTTCCTTGTGATACCCTGATACCTCTGAACCGTAAAAGTTTGTTTTAGTGCGTGAGACCACAGTGAGTGTGGCTGATGTGTCACTGTGCTCCATGAGAATATTAGTACCAGTCCTGGAGTTGGGGGCTCAGGAGCTCCTAGTGAGTATGGACATTTTAAATTAGTACAGTGATTGAAGTGTGTATGTTAAAGAGATTTATGAAACATTATAAGAACAATGTGTTGTATGGTTTTTAGGTTCCTTTAAGAGGAAAAATGAAAAGCTGTTCAATTATTAAATTAATGTGAGTCTTTTATTAATTTTCTTTTTAGCGGACTCATTGGACAAAGCTGGGCAATGTTGTTTGCCGGCGGAGGCTTCCAGGTGAAACTCTACGATATTGAGCAACAACAGATAACAAATGCCCTTGAAAACATCAGGTAGGTCAGATGGCGCCAACCTGTAGGAATTAAATAGCACTGTTTCTCTTTTGTACTCTTTTCTCTCATATCCTCAAGGCTGTAAATATTTGTGATCACGCATTTTATTTGATTTTACTTCTAGTGTCTAGGCTGATAAAGAGAAGATCAAAGGGGGCTGGAACATGCATTTTTTGTTTTTTTTTGTACTGGGGATCAAACTCACAACCTGTTTGCCAGGCAGGTGCTATACTACTGAGCTGTATTTCTAGCCCTGGAACATGAATTCAAACTACTATAATTATCTGCTCTCCTTTTAATGACCATTGTAGCTTTTTTGAGCTTGGGACTATTGTAAATAATACTAAAATTGATATTCTTGTATTTATTTCTCCTTATAAATAAGTTCAAGAGTTTCAATAGATTACACCTCATAGTGAAATTGCTGGATCTGTGTTACCAGAAAAGGTTCTGATGGCCTGGATTTGGATTCATCTCTTTCAACTTTTAACCTCTTTCATGTTTCCTTTTGTCCTGTGTTTTTAGAAATATATTCTGGTTACATTCTTTAGATTTTTCTCCTATTTTGCCAATTCTCTTTTTAGTTGCATTTAATCTGCAGTTTAAGCCATTTACTAAGATTATTTAAATAATTTAATTTTTTAAAAGTTAAATTTGCTTCTTCTCCAAATGTATTCATTTCATAGTCTCTCCTGATTACTTATTCTTTTTTCTTCTAGTTTTTCAAATCATTGGGTAATTAGTACACAGTTGCTTTGTACTGTATATCTGACAATTACAGTATCTGAGGGTGTCTTATATCAGATTAATGAGAATCAGATCCTGAAGTGAGAATTCCTGGGCAAGTGATGTGTTAAGGAAGCATTTCCAGGAGAAGCCAGTGAGGAAACACTAAAGATAGGATAAAGAAGGGGAGGGAACCAGCTCAAGGTGTGGCTTTAGCAATCCAGGGCTGCTCAGTGTTTCTCAGGAGGTGTGGTGCTCAGGAGGTTTCTCATAGGTTGTACTGCAAAGCTGCTTTCCCTCAAGGCAAAGGAGCCAAGCTTTCATATTCCTGTATCCACCATTGGCAGTGGCTGTCCCTGGGTGGATATAAACTCCAGGTATCTGCAGGTCCCTGGCTTGGTCCAGGGAATATTCTGGGTAAGGCTTTGAACCCTAGCAGCATAGAACTGTAACACCTAGTGCTGGTGAGAGGGATAATAGTGCTCTGGAGCACTGGTAGGCTTCACTACCACACCTTGCCACTATATTGGGGGATTTAAATTAAAATTTTATATTTTCCTTTATGTAAAAATACTGGCAAACTACCTACTATGTTCTGGGCACATTTAAGCACTAGGGATTAAGCAGGAGGCAGAATAGAGTTATGATCTCTGACCATGTAGAACTCACGTTCAGTGTGGGAAAGAAGGGTAGAGAAGTAGAGAATACAAAACAAGGCACTCAGAGACATGATGTGTTAGAGCAAGGGTTGACACACCGTGGCAAGGGGGCCATATCTGATATTTTTTATTGCCTTTTCAATTTTTGGGCTTTTGGGTTTTTATAAAAGAGCTTTTAGCTTTTAGGACACACATAACTCCTGTCCCAATAAGTACAGAGGTAGGACATACTCATTGAGTGGCACACTGATTATAACAAGTGAAATTACATTGTTACATCATTGTCAATCCAACCTCCATGGCTTGCATTAAGGGTCACTCTTGATGTCTGTTCTGTGGGTTTGGACAAGTATATACTGACACATGTCCAGTCCTGCACTATACTGTCATACAGGAGGTGGACTGCCCTGAAAATCCTCTGGGCTCTCTGTTCATCTTTTTTCCTCTCAGCCTGTGGCAATCTGCTGTCTCCATAGTTTGATCTTTTCCAGAATGTCATATAATTGGAATCATAGAACTCATCTAGATTAGATTCTTTCATTAGGTAATGAATTTAAATTTCCTGCATATATTATCAGGACTTGATAGGATAGTTCATTTTGGTGTTAAGTAATATTGTGTTGGCTAGAATACCACAGTTTATACATTCATCTACTGATGGACATTTGTGGTTGCTTCTAAGATTTGGCAATTATGAGTAAAGTTGCTCTGAATATTTCTGTGCAGTTTCATGTGGACATGTTTTGCCACCTTTGAATAAGTACTAAGAATCATGATAGTTGTATTAAGTGGTAAGAATATATTTAGTTTCATAACGAACCACTGAACTATTTTCCAAAATGCCTGTACCATTTGCATTTTCACCAGCAGTGAATGAGAGTTCCAGGGACTGCATGTCTTTACCAACATTGGATGTTGTCAGTGTTCTAGATGTTAGTCTAATATCTTGTTTTAATTTACTAATGATGTATGATATGGATCACCTACATCTTTAGATTTTCCTTGACTTGTGTGTGTGCTGAGGATTGCTACACCCCACTTCCAAGTTCTTTTGTTTTTAAATTTAAAAGTGTTTTTGACCAAAGGAGGAACCTTGAAAATTATCCTTGTTTGCCGTGACTCCCCAATGCATACACATTGTTCTTATTTGGTATCCTTCAGTGATTCTTACTCACTATAGTGCTGGAATATAAAGCTCTCTGAAGAGGGATGTCAGAGTAAAAATGTTCATTACACCTCAATGAAATAGCCAGAGCTGGGCATGGTGGTGCATACCTGTATGTCTAACACTGTTGGAGTCTGATGCAGTTGGATTGCAAGTTGGAGCCTAGCCTTGGCTCAAACTTAGTGGGATCCTATCTCAATAAAAAGGGCTAGGTGTAGCTCTGTGCAGAGGTCCTGGACTGAACACTCAGTACTGACAGGAAAAAAAGCCAAAAGCCACATAGTCCTGTTGTTGTAACTTCGGAGCACATGTACCTCTTGAGAGACTACTGATTAAATACGTAAACCAATCATGTATTGAGAATCAAAAAAGCTATTAGGGGAGTAAAATTGTAAAGAACTTTAAGGAATTCATGGTCTTCCTGAATAAAGAAAAGTCATATTTAGAGTTGTTTCTCAGACACTCCCTTCATGATACCAAAATCAGCAGATGCTGAAGTCCTTCATATGAAACGGCATCGTATTTGTGTGGAACCTCTGCAGTCCTCACGTACATTTGACCTCTCCTGTAGACAAGCTATTATACCTAACACAAATGCTACGTAAGTAGATGTATCCTTTGGGCATTTAATGATGAGAACAGGCTGTGCTTGTTAAGTACAGACCAGAAAAAACTTTTCCATGTATTTTCCACCTGTAGCTGGTTGAGTCTAAGGATGCAGAATCCATGGGCAGGGAGGAATAATTGTACTTTGTTAAAATTCATCTTTCCTTCCACATTAAGTAGTTTTTAGGGAACGTTTGGCAGCCCGACTTTGAAATGGTTGGTAACATGTCCCTGCCTCCTGTCCTCGTTGGTCACCTGGGTCGTTAGCGGGCCTGACCCAGGGTTTCTGGTGCAGGTGTTTGTGGCCTGGAGGTCTGGAGCTCGTTAACTTCAGAGCAGGCTCAGTGTTGGAGGAGTGAGCAGACGGGCAAATGGAGACTGCAAGTCTCTGGTGAGGGAGGTGGCAGACTTTCTGTGAGGCCAGAGAGTGAATCCTTTATAGGCTTTGGGGGTTGTATGGTCTGGCTCAGCTTCTGTGGCCAAGTGAAAACAATCATAGATAATCTCTGAACAAAAGGGCACAGGTGTGTTCCAATAAAACTTTATCTTCTGGCATAATAACTGAGCTTTGGCCTTCATGGGATTTTCATGTTAAAAAATTATTCTTTTATTATTTCAAAACCATGTAATGTTTGAAAGCCACCCTTGTCTCACTGACTGTGTAAAAAGAGGTGGTGGACTAGATTTGGTCTGCGAGCTATCAGGCTTCCCAGTTCTGTCATCTTTTCATCTTTGAATTTGTGAGGCCGGCTTCAACTGTTTTAGCAAGAGAATAACTTCAAGGCTCCTAAATTGAAAAGTCGTTCATTTTACTTCTTGGGATATTTGTATGTTAGGCTGTATTTTCAGGTATCTCATTAAAGATTTTGGTTACTTTTTAAAGTCCTTTCAGGTGCCAAGTAGTACATGAGAGGTTTCTTTTTCTATCTTTTTTTGGGGGGTGGCACTGGTAGCTGGTGTCAGAAATATGTAAATGCTCTACAACTGATCCACACCTCCAAGTATATGCATTACTAATAGCAGCCATATTATAGAAGGAGTAAGTGTACTGAATTCTTTATGTAACTGAGATTTTAAAAGGGGTACATCCGAATTTTTTCTCAAGAACCATGCCTTTATTTTTAAAGCCCACATGAGTTGATGCAAACAGGCAGAACTGGTTGTGCCTCCTCGGCAGGAAGCAGGGATCTCAAGGTGATCTGGTGACCCCTCATTCTTCTCATATTATTGCTAGCACAGCACATGGAATTCTGCCCCTGCACAGCATATTAAGTATACTGAATTCTTGGTCTTGAGTGACCTGCCTTCCTTTCTTGAATCATAAGATCTTCAAATGTGCTATTCCTGTACAGAGAGATTAAGTTCAAAGCATAGACACCACACCTTGTTTTTTTAAAAAAAATTTTATTTTAAAGAGGATAAAATTAAGCATAATAAAACAACAAAATAGGTCATAAGAAAACAATGCAAGAGACACAAATTTCAAAGCAAGACCACCAGAGATCTTCACTGTCAATCATATTATCTCTTGTTTTCTTCCAAATAGTTGTCCATATCTTCACACACAGTGAATTCATACCAAACAAAATAGTATAAAACTGATCAGAACAGGATGATGAAGGAATTTTAGGTCAAGACCAGACAATAAGGAAGTTAGCAATAGCTGCCATAGTGTCTCTCATTCTCTTCAAAATAGCTGTCCATACCTTCATGTATGTTGAAATTAAACAAAACAAAACAGACTAAAATCACTCTGAACAAAGAATAATAGTATTACTGAATTTCACATCATGACGCTATGGAATCAGCACTGGGTACCTTAGTGTCTCTTTTTCTTCAAAGTG